GGGCGGGGCTCTGCGCGCGGAGAGAGACGGCCGCGGGGAGAGCCGGGAGCTGCGAGCGCAGAGGATGCCGGGAGTAGGGGAGTGTGAAGTGAGGTGGACGCCGGAGACCAAGAACGCGAAGGCTGCCGGGAGCCGAGCCTCGGACGCGCTGTCTTTTCTGTCAGCAGCTCAAGGCATTGCGCGGCCTCTAGTTAAAAGCGTTAGTTGGCCGAATAGTCACTTTTTAAAAATCATGCTCAACTGTTTGGCACCTTTGCATTTGCTAATAACGGCATCCAGAGCTTCAGAAAAGGGAGGATGTGAGTAAGTGAATAGACAGCTCTCTTAGAACAGCATTCGGCAATAAATGTAGAGGGAATTTAGATTTCCCGTTGGGCTGGCACCTCAGTAATTGCTACTGAACACAAAAATCATGGATGTTTTATTTTAGTGCTTTAAAATATAGTGGGCCTTGGGCCAGGGATTTAGCTCAGTAGTTCCGTTGCCTGCCTCGCAAGCACCGAGTTCGATCCTCAGTACCAAAAAAAAAAAAAAAAAAAAGTGGGCCTAAGGATGGGGATTTAGCTCAGTGGTTCTGCCGCCTGCCTCTCAAGGGCAAGGTCCAGAGTTCGATCCCCAGTAGAAAAAAAAAAAAAAAAGGGGGGGGTGTGCCAAAATGTGAAAAGTAGGTGTTTTTGTTTTGGTGCCAAGGATCGAACCCTGGGCCTCTTGATGCTGACCTGCACTCTTAACATTGAGCTACGCTCCAAGCTGTGTGTGTCGGGGGGAGGGTGTTTGTTTAGTGTTGGTTTGGTTTTTACATTGTTGGAAAATTTCTACCCCAAGATACTTGTAGCATCTGAGAGATGCCACCATAACCCAGGAACCAAGGTCGCCAGCATGTACGAACTTGGGAAACTGTACACTCTAAATATGTATTAGAGTTCATATTAATTATGCCTCAACAGAGGTGAAAAACAGACTATGGGCCTCCTAAGGACACAGGTTCACTTATTGGTATTTCTGCCCCAAAAGGCGAAAAAAAAAAAAAAAAAAAAAACTTCTAGAAGAGCAAAAACAGAAGGAGTGTTCTGTAAAGTTACCAGCCAGTTTCTTTTTCAAAAGTGTCAGTATCATTAAATACAGTGGGAGCCATCTGTGAATAAAAGAATCGTCTAAATGCAATGTAGAACTCAGACCCTGAATATGGGATTTTGGCTCAGAAAAGGGACATTTTGGGACAACTGGTAAACTTCAAATACTATGAGCCTCTTGACTCGTATTCTATGGACTCTCCTAAACCTATTTGTGAACGTCCTTGTATATTCTAGGTTGTTTTCTTCTTGGTTTTTGCAGTGCTGAGAATTCAACCTAGCACATGCTAGGCAAATGCTATACCACTGAACTACATACATTTTTAACATAGAACTTTGCTAAATCAGTTTGGCAAAACAAAAACCCTCCCATCTTTTATATCTGACCTGGTTCCTCATTACCCCACCCTGTGTCTGATCACTTGCCTTTGGCAATAATCTTGTTTGGTTAATTTAGCCAGGATCATTCCTTATGCTTCTTTTCTCTTCATGTTAGGCAAGTGCTCTACCATTGAGCTACATCTCCAGCCAACAACAGACACTTGTCTCACAACTATGCAGGCTGGAAGTCTTGAGATCCAACTGGTAGAAAGGTCATGGCAGTGTCCCCTTTGATAACTCTAGGGAAGTGCCAGTCCAGGCCTATTTCCCAGAACCTGGTTCATCCTGGCTGAACTGGTGCAGAACTTCAGACACTGTTGTCTCTGCATGTGTGCCTGTGTCCAAGTTCCCTTTCACAGAAGGACACCAGTCATAATTGCATTAGGGCTAGCTTAGAGACCCCATTTTATCCCTGGAATGACCCTGTCTCCAAATACAGTCACACTGTGAGTTACTGGTGGTTAAAATGCTAAAATATCTTTTTTGCGAGGAAGGGCTGACAACTCAACCCCTAACAATGAAATCTACATCTTGGGATGCCCCTTCCCCAGGAGGACCAAACCATAGGGGAGCCCCAGGCAGGGTGGGGGCTGAGGGCCTCATGACAAGACTTAGAAAGCTTTCCCTGGGCATGTCCAGTCCTGAGCAGAGGCAGACATCTGGGGAGGCTCTGTATGAGGACCCTGTGCCTGGTCAGCATAGAACAAGGCTATAGGACACAGGGTGGTAGCCCCTGGTGGGAGCCTGTCATCCTGACTGCCGGACACATGTGGGACTGCAGTTTCCTCACAAGCCTAGAGCAGGGAAAATGGGCTTCTGTTCCTCCCCAGATGGGCCAGCGATCCATCACACGCCAGCCAGGACACCTCAGTGCAGGTCTATATCCACCCTGTGCCCATTGCTCTGGGTGCTGTGTTCTGAAAGGCCAAGTCAGGGGTCAACTGTAGAAGCAGAAGGAAGCCCTGGGCTGAGCATTAGATATGTGGGACATAAGCTTGGCCAGGGCTGGGGACTCAGCTTCTGAGTGCCAAGACTAAAGCAGACTCCACTTGCCCTCTGGACCTCCAAACCACCTCTTCCTGCAATTCACATGCCTTTTCCTCCCAGGGTTCCTTTTAATAATCCCTAGTATTTAAAGTGATTTGCCCTATAACACCCCCTAATTTCCACACACACACCGGCTCCCTTGTGCCTCAGCCTCAGCCCATGGACTGCATCATGGTAGAGGGCAAAAGAAGAAAGAAGAGCCTCATAGGCAGCTGTACCACCACAGGAGGTCCTCATCACCATCACACAAAGTAAAGACCTTGAAACGTACTCATCGCAGACTCAAAACTTTATTATCCATAGCTCATATAAGTTCAGACTCCTCTGAAACTCAACTCTTCAAGAAGGAGAAGGGAGATAGCAAAGGTCAGCTAAGTCCCCTTGCTGAGACAGGCCTGCTCAGAGCCCTCAACGTTCACCTGGGTGAGGAAGGACCTAAAGTCCTCAGCACACACTCACTTGCCCTCCCTGGTGGGAATGACCAGTGTGTACGGGACCCCTGGTGCACACAGGACCTCCCAGGATATACGGAACACCTACACCATCCTAAACTATCCAGTGTACATGGAACTGCCTCATGTACACAGGACCCCCTGGCACATGGAGGGCCACTGGATCCCTCCTAAGCTGTGCTTCAGTTGTGAAAGTGGGTTGCTTTTATGTCTTCTTTGTGCTCCAAGTTCCAAAGGTGGCCTGTCTCCTCTGTGGGAGGAGGTCTGACTGTCAGGAACTGAACTACACTTGTACTCTGTGCTCCCAGGAAAGAAAAGGCCCATTTAAACCAAAGCTTACCCCTGCCACTTGACCAGAGCAAAGACCCACTGGCTAGAAGTACATGTGTGGTAAGAGGTGCTCCTCTTCCTGCTGGGCACATATATGCGTGCATGCATGTGCCTGTGCACCTATCCATGTACACGTGTGCATGTGTATGCATGTAAACGTGTTAACTCATGCCCTATGTGTGTATGAGTGTGCCTGTGCACACAGGCAGAGCAGACCCAGGTACATTCTCAATGTATGGCATACCTGGGCCTGCACAGGCCTAGCATCAGACTCTGTCACGCGCCACTGGCACAAAGGCAAACCCTGAGCGAGGTAGAGGGACATGGATAGGTAACACGTAGATCAGAGGGCCTGGGCCAGGAGGACGCTGGCTGAGTTATGGGCAATGCATCCATGAAGACTCTAGTCCACACTGGCCTTGAGGCAGGGCCTCCCGGGATCCCTGTTAGCTCTGTAGCATGAACTCATGGGTGTTTGTCTCCCAGCAGGAGGGATCCTTGTCCAGCATGCTGCGTTCTGTGAAGGTCACCTGGCCATTTGCATCCACAAGGATAATGGTGTTGGTTCTGAAAGACAATGTTTTCCATGAAGCCCCTGGCACCAGTCCCGACTGTCAGAGCCACAGCTGAAGTGGAATGAGCAAGCCCACCAAGCCTGGGCCCTGTTCTAGGCCCTCAGCTTCGGCCTAAGGCAGGGGCTGGGGTCGTAGATGAATAGCAGCCTTAACCATGGGGTCAGGAAGGAGCTTGTCAGGGGCATCTGGGCTCCCCGGGTAGCCCTCCAGGCCCACGATGGGTGAGTCCTCTTGCCTCTCCTCTGAAACAACACCAACCTGTCCTGCCTGCCCTCTTCAGCAAGAGCCCTGCCTGCTGGCTTGTCACATTCCCTGGACAACTGCTAGGTTCACCACTGACCTACCTACTCAGAGGACCGCAAAGTCCAGACACTGGCCACTATTTGTTCTTTCAAGAAGTCAAGCTTTCAACTAGTAGGGGCCACACTTTGCCTTCCTGGAAAACCCCCTCCTGCCCACCCCCAAAGCCAGCTGGCCCCTGCCAACCCTCAGCACACCATTCTTCTCTCTCACCCAGTCTTCCCCATTGTGGGAGGTTCTTCAGGGGTTTTGTCTTTGTTTTTGTTGTTTAGTTTTGTTTTAGAGACAGGTTCTCACTATGTAATTCAGGCTGGCCTTGAACTCACTATGTAACCCAGACTGGCTCTGAACTCTGGACAGTATTCCTGCCTCAGCCTCCAGAGTGCTAGGATCATAGCTGTGTGCCGCCACACCCATCTTGGGAGGTTCTTCATGTTGTGATAACTGTCTCCGTCGAAAAAAGGTGGATACATACACAAAAAAAAATGATCAGTCTGCAGCCCTATCTAGGTATGTAACCCATGGACCCTAGAATATCAGTACCAGGGGATCTACCAAGAACACAGCTACTACCCTGGCTCTCTGGTGGCTGTATATTTGCTCCTCGCTGGAAGAGGCCATGATGAATATACCAACAGCCTATCTCAGAGAATTAGAGAAAGTAATCCTAAAATTCATTTGGAGCCAGAAGAGACCTAGAATAGCAAAAGCAATTCTGGGCAACCGAGGCAAGGCAGGGAGCATCACAATCCCTATCTTGGGAGGGGATAACACAGGGGCCCCACCTAAGACACAGTGAAACCTTAAGGAGCTCAAACCTGGCAGTCTGCTCACCACTCACAGCCAAGTGTAGACAGGGTAGAGGCTCCAGAATCTGCTCAGCTAGGGAAGGAGTCTGGCCCTAGTTAGCTGTGGTGTGGGGAGCTGCTGCTTGGCCGTTCCCTGGAGCTCAGAGCTGAGGTGCCCACCATACCTGGTGCCATAGTCTGGGCAGCGCACACACACAGCTGCATACTTGTTCAGTATGGGCCGTATGTACTCCTGGCCCTGGTCCTCAATGGCCGGGTCTGGCAGCTGTCTGAAAGAACAAAGGAAGGGGGTGGCCATCAGTCCCTCTACCACCTGTCCACAACCCCCTGTAGCTGGGTGGCCTAAACAGCCTTGGGGTTCCTGAGGAGCCCCTTAGCCTTGAACAGGCCGTGAAAAACCATGAGGGTTGTTTTACCTTCTTTGCTGCTTCGTGCTTCATATCTATGTTAACCTTCCACGTAGGACTCCGTCATTAAGCCCAGCCAGCTAGATGCCACACACACTTTATGGCTGCCCCAGAGTTGCCCTGTGAAAATCTGTCTGCATGACAGGAGTGTGCTTGAGACCAGAGACTTCCCAGTCACCACAAAAGGCAGCAGAGCTGCAGCCATCAATGAGAACAGCCAACGACCATCACAGAACTGCCCAGGATGACGCAGTGACCCACCACTGTGTGGACCGACGGGTAAGAAGCTGGCCAGACAGGGAGGCCAGTAGGGATCCCGAAAGGGACAGTAATGCTGAGGCTGAAGGGTGAGACCATGGCACAGAGGAGAGGGAGGACAAGTAGGGGCAGGAAGGGGCCCCAGGAAATCATGGGGCATTCCTCTGAGGGACTGCTACAACAATAGGGTTGGGGGAGTGGCAGTACATACTGGATCATCTGGGCAGGAAGGTGGACAGCTGAAACGGGAAGGGGAGGGACGTGGGGCTACACGTGAGACCCAAGTCAGCTTGACAAACACCGAGACCGCTGCTGGGATGGCCAAGATTCAGATGCCCACTGTCTGAGGGTGTCGCACTGCTACCCGTGGCGCCTCAAGGCTTCCAGGCCAGGAAGCATGTGGGGGCGCCCCTAACCCCAGGGACACGTGCCATCTGTGCCCAGTGTTCAGCCCGGATCACTGCGGAGACAGCACGGGAAGTTCTGTCACCATCCAGACCAGCCCTGAGCCTGGCTTCTCAGTCCCATGGCTCCCCTTCCTGGGGAGGGGCTGCTTTCTGAATACCCACAACCTTCCAGAACTTCCCACTGGCCTTCCAGTTCCTCCAGCACTATGCGAGCCTATTCTGAGGTCTGAGAGCACCAAACTTCCCGGCCTACGGGCCCTCGGTTACCCAGTTCGCATCGTCAGGAAGTTCCGTATTGGAAACCCCAGCTGGATGTCCAAGGGGCGTAAGCGGAGAGAGCAGGGATGCAGATGAAGGGCCTGGGGAGTCCACTTACGCCTCCTCGTTGTTTAGCACATCCAGGAGCTGGGCGACAAAGGCATCCTTAGGGAGCGCCTGGCTCTGCTCCACAGCCTCCAGGAAGAGCTGCTTCCCAAAACACAGCTTCCTCCAGGGTGTCTCCAGCAGTGCATTGCTCAGCCCGTAGGTTCCTGCAGGGTTGCGGGGGGGGTGTGTGTCAATCTGGCCACGCAGAGCCCTCGCTCTGTGATTTCAGGGTAAACTCCCGCTCTCCCACCAACACACAGGCTAGGGTGCCAGGGTTACAGCTAGGGACAACAATACTGGAACAGACCGAAACTAAGCTGTCCCTTTACTCTAACACTCCTCTGGGCCCTCTCTGGCCCCATCTGTGCAGTGAGGGATGGAGAACTCAAGTGGGGGGCACGTACGAGAGGTCATTAGGCACAGCCACGTAGGCCTGGATGGACACAGAAACGTGGAATAAACAACTGGAACTCCAATGGGGAATCTCTCTAGGCAAGAGCCTGGGAGGGGCCCGGGATTTACTCAGTGGCATAGAGCCTGCCTGGCAAGCGCAGAGTCCTGAGTTCAGTCCTTAGTACCACACACACACACACACACACACACACACACACACACACACACACACAAAGAGAGAATGGGGACACCTACAAAGGGAGACAATCAGCAACCTGAAGCTAGGAGGGCACCCACCGTGACAGGCCCTGACTGTTTGGGTTGTTTTTTTTTTGGTACCAGGGATCAAACTCAGGTCCTCCTGCCTGCCTATATCCCTGGCCCAATAGGCCCTGACTTGTACCAGCAGTTAGAGAAGCCATGTGGGGGGACATCCACATCCTGTTTCATCCCTGAGCTTGTCCACTTCTTGATACCTGTCCTACATTACTACTATCATGTACTCTCTACCACTGAACCAAATCTTCAGTTCCCTCTTATAAATAAGTGTATTGAGATATGACATTTTCTACAGTTCACCGATTTAAAGTGTGTCTATCCACAGTTATACTACCATCACCGCTGTCTAATCCCAGAACCTTTGCATTCTTTCCCAAAGAAACTCAAGACTGCAACTTGGATCAGGTGAGGACAGGCTTAGGAATGAAAGGAATTTCTACCAAAAATGACTTAGCAGCAAATAAGCATCTGTAGCAGGGGCAGGGTAGGGCAGGGTCTCGGCCACTGAGAAGAAAGGCCTTGGGGTAGCTTTCAGCTGCTTCCCCGCCTGCCTCTAGGCCCATGTTCAAAATGAGGAAGGGAGATGTCTGCTTCCTTTCAAGCTTTGTGTTTTCCAATTCCTTCCCAGGCAGTTGTCAAGGGCTCAGGGCAGCCCTAACGATGATGTGGACACGAACCCACCTCCCTGCACACCTGGACCCCAAGATGCCAAACTGATGTGGGGGCATCAAGCCAAGCAGGACAGTAAGAACTCAGTGCCAAGCTCGGCACCACAGCAACATAGCCCTCTACCTGTCCTTTAGGTATGAGCAGGCTCCGGGGGCTCAGCTGGGCCTGCTGTGAACCCCCGTGGCTCTGCCCCAGGTGGGAAGGGGAGGGCCAGCATCACAGAGGGTGCCCCACAGTTGGCAGAGAGCCCCACATAAAGAGTGGGCACAAGGACAAAGTGAGGTGCATCAGAAGCCACCCCCAAGAGTGGAATGGGGGTGTCCTCCTCTGAACATGCCCTGGCCCAAGGTGTCTTGGCCTGATCACCACCCCTGGATTCCTCCACTCACCTGTGCCCAAAATGTCCCTGGACAGACATGAGAAGGTGGGTTCTCGCTACACCTTTGCTTAGGAGCTACTTTCTGTGGCTCTGCCCCGCTGTCCCTCCTTCCTTGGATGTTGCGATTTCCAGGAAGCCTCTCCCCTGCCAGCAGACAGAGTATCAGGTTACACTCCCTCTATGAGCCACTTTGAGGGGAAGGCGGTCTGCGTCTTGTCCCGGGTCTGCTTCTCCCCCTTCAACACGCTGCCTGTCCGGACCTCAGACACCAGCTCTTTTCCCTACACCTGAGCTGTTGGGTCTTTATCAGGAGTCCCAGTTCTTACTGTCCTGCTTGCCTTGATGCCCCCTCATCAGTTCGGCATCTTGGGGTCCAGGTGTGCAGGGAGGTGGGTTCGTGTCCACATCATCGTTAGGGCTGCCCTGAGCCCTTGACAACTGCCTGGGAAGGAACTGGAAAACACAAAGCTTGAAAGGAAGCAGACATCTCCCTTCCTCATTCTGAACGTGGGCCTAGAGGCCGGCGGGGAAGCAGCTGAAAGCTACCCCAAGGCCTTTCTTCTCAGTGGCCGAGACCCTGCCCCACCCCGCCCCTGCTACAGATGCTTATTTGCTGCTAAGTCTGAGAAGGAGACCAGGGCAGAGCAGGGAGACAAAAGGGAGAGTCCCTAAGGCCCCGGGCCAGGCGTGGAGACTAAGTACAGGAGGTGTGGATGTGCATCACTGAGGAGTGCAGAGGAAGACCCCTGTGATAACTGCCCCGAAGGTTCCGAGAAAGGACAAGCACACACAGGGCTGAGATGTGGGGCCACGGGGTTGCCTTCCAGGCTGCAGGGCTGTGGTAAGAGTTCACAGCAGGTTCTGAGTCTCACTTTCTAGGAAAAACCCATGGGAAGGTGGCAGGAATAGTGCAGGGCCAGGTGCAGACCAAAGCCCCACACAGGTCATACATAAGGTGCACAGATCAATCAGCAAACAGTACAGTCCCGGGAAAAAAGTGCAGTAGGGGCCTGGTCCCTGAAAAGCACAGGGGGATACCCAACACATCAGCAGTCCTTCACCCAAGCAGGCTGCCAGAGCAGGCTCACCTGGCATCAGGATGATGGGCTCAGGCTCCCCTCGGTTTCCATAGTAACAAATGACATCTCCTTTTGCTGTGCTGTGGAGATGGAGGAGAGAAAAGGTTAGATAGGGCAGGTTAGAAGGGCTGGGGATTTGGCTCAGTGTTTCTGCCGCCTCCCTTGCAAGCACATGGGCCTGAGTTCGATCCTCAGTACCACAAGAAAAAAAAATGGTTAGAAAGGATCAACAGGGCATCCTGCCCTCAGCACTGCCCCGCGATCTCATGGCCCTATTCCCAGGGCCCTAGCTGGTGGCCAAGCACAAGAACAATGGTGTACTTTAGCCGGGCTGAGGGGTCAGGAAAGGTAGGCCATGGAGACCTGGTTCCAGCATCACAGGTACACTGCGGTCTCATCTTGGGGACCACCAGCCTGGGAAGAAACAGCATGTGAATGTCCTACCCCCATGAACAGCATCTTCTGGTGAGTTGTGGTACCCACCTCTGTGGCTAATCTCCAAGTACTTCTGGGGCTTCTAGACAGGTGGTGTCAGAGTGACACAGGCTTCCTACTTTCATATTGTGAGTGTATGTTTTACAACAGTTAAAATGCTCCACTGCTGAAGATGCCCTGGTTCCTCAATACCACAGTAAATCTTACTGGTAGAACTTGGAATGCCTTTCTGTTGCCATTGCTTAGCACTGGGGATCACTAAGCTACAGTCATTTCTTTTTCTTTTTCTTTTTTTTGAGACAGGCAGGGTCTTACTAAGTTGCCCAAGTTGGACTCAAACTTGAGATCCTCCTGTCTCAGTCTCTAGAGTACCTGAAATTACAGGTGTGTACTATGACTTTGAGATTTATGACACACCCTCCAGGTCAGACACCAGACAGAGATCTGCACCTTCAGAATGGGCAAATGTAGAAAAGGGGGTAAAAAAGGAAAGAAGGGCAAAGAAAAAATAGGAGAAAAGGGGAAAATGGAAATAAATTCATTGTAAATAGGGAAAGGTGGAGGGAGTAAGCGGGGGCAGGGGAAATGGGGGAAAAATAAGAACCAAGATACATCATGTAAAGGCACAAGATCCCCGTGATGAATGTCAGTGTACTGTACACCTAAAATGTACTGATAACCTTGAAGGGGAAGAAGAGAAAGAAAAGGGGATAAAATGGGTGGCTGGGGTACTGTTAGGTCCGCCCATTCCTCCTGCTTCGTGCTGCTACCAGGCAGGTCCCACCCACCAGCTTCCAGAGCCTTTGTTCTGTGTTCAAATTCTTTTTCTACCACACCCCTTGGCACTTTAAGATGTTTGGTTAATGAGTTCAGGGCTTTTGTATCCCAGCAGAAAGCTTTTGAAGCTTTTGAACTTTTGATGTAAGGACAGAAGCATCAGGTGCCCAAGCTGGGGTCGCTGACAGAGCCACCCCAGCCAGACAAAGGGACGGGCCTTATCCAGGGACAGCTCTGGCTTGGTTTCCTCATCAGCACCCACCAGCAGGGCTGTTCACTGCCACCCTCCAACCTCAGCCCTGGTACCACCTGCCGTTGACCCATGGGGTGCTTTTCTGGTCACTGTGTGCTTTCTTGGGTTGTGATCATTACAGCGGCAGACTCCTGACCCAGGAGCTAGGAGAGCTGCTCAGGTTCCCAGAGGCCCAGGGCCTCACTTTCCACAACTGCAGAAGTTTCCAGCTCATAGGTACCCACATATCCATTCAGAACACACCTTCCTTGTCCCCCAGCCACTTGGCACAGCTGCTGAGTGCCCAGTCCCACTAGTGTCACAGCCCCTGTTCTGGTCTCCTAGAGCTGGGTCACACATGCAACACGTAACAGGGCAAAGTGGGGAGCACGTGGACTTGGGGCTGCTGTAGCTCAGCTGGGAAGAGCGCTCTGGACAGTAAGTGCTAACATCAGCCTTCACCCTTGGCCCTCCTCCTCTGGGCCATTGCAGCCCGCTCAGCCTCTACATCATACGCCTCCATCCATGTGGCACAGGGGCGGACACAGCATTCCACATGCAGTGGATGTTGGCGGCATAGCGGACCTGCCCTCGTGGAAGGAAGTAGCTCAACAAGGGGATCTGGACATGAGCGCTAACTGCTCCTCACCCCGTCTGCCTGTCCTGGAGGAAGCCCCTTTAACCAGCAGCCCATGGCTTGGATGTGCCAGGCTTGCCTGGGTAGCACTGAGTGAAGAATTGTTTTGGGCTGCATATAAAAAATACAGGTAACATACAAGTAACAAAAATATCCTTTAAAACTACTTTTTACTACAACCCAGGCATGTTCAACCCACAGGCTGCAGGTTGGACATAACCTGCCTAGGGTAACAGCATTTGCTGACTTCTGGGCATTACAAGGGGAGGGGAGAGGAGTCATAGGGAGACGAGGATGCTCACTTCACAAAGTTTCTGCAGTACCTGTGGCCATATCTCTAACATGAAAGTCACCTAGGTCACAGCACCTGGCCGGGGCTGCTGTGGGCTGTTCCACAGGGCCTGCCCATGGAAGAGTGGACACTCAGCTAGGGCCACAGACTACCCTTCACAGTCCCAGCTCTTCAGCTCTCAAGGCAGAGAGCAAGAAGCCCTGACTCAGCTCCCCATGCCCCAGCGGGGTGGGCCTGTGACAGGCTAGGTCTTTGGAATGTTTGCCAAGCCTACTGCAAGTGACATTTTGGGGAAGGCTACCAAGCTGACTGGAGGGGTAGAATCTTGAGCCCGGTGCCAGGATGCTTGGCCCCTAAGGCAGTGCTGAGTAGGGCTGCTGCGCCCTTCTGGCAGACTCACCTCAGGTCAGCTGCTATGAGATTGAAGCCATTGTACAGATGGCCCTCCTGGGAGACCTTCTTCAGGTAGGACAAGCTGTCCATGTCAGTGGTCAGAAAGTTGGTTACAAGTTCACCTGTATGCAGGCAACAGGGACACATGACTGAGGCAGCAGATAAGCCCCTTTCCTTGGGATACCGTAGTGGAGCCCCCTTGGGAAGATAAAGAAAGAGGGATCCCAATGGCACTCCAGCAAATGGCATCAGCCACACTTCACTGAGAGGGCTGCCACGAAGGGAGGCACTGAAGACTATGATGTTTTGGGGAGAGGGGTGTTAAAAAAATCTTTTAGCCAGGTACAGAGGCTATACACACATGTCATCCTAACTAGTTGAGAGGATGAGGTAGGAACATCATGAGTTTGAGGCTAGTCCAGGCAACATATAGAGAATCTCATTTCAAAAACAAAAACAAAAAAAAAAGCCAGGTGTGGTGGTGCATGCCTATAATCCCAGCACTCGGGAGGCTGAGGCAGGAGGACCACTGTGAGTTCAAACCAGCCTGGACTGCATAGTGAGTTGTCAGTCTCAACTACATAGTGAGACCCTGTCTCAAAAAAAAAAAAAAAAAAAAAAAATTCCCCATAGAATTGTGCCAGAGGGGGAGGGGGCAGTGTCTACGCTGCTGACATTGGACAGGTGGGGGACAAAGATATAATAGTAAGGAGGAACATCTTGTAGAGGACACACATAAGAGAGTGCTCCCTGAGATGACCACATCTGTGCGTGCCAGGAGACCAGGCTGACAGTGGCTGCTATAGTGATATCATAGGTCCCCTCCCCTTCTCCTGTCTCTGCCTCCTGCTCCAGAGGCAGGTAGGGAGTGCTAGCAGACACTCTCTGCAGGCGCCTCCTGCTTCCTACTTACCCTTGCTGATCCACTCTGCCTGCCTTACTAGGCCTCGCCCACCCACTCACCCCCACCTGGGCCCAGTCCCACTTCCCCTGCTTCCCTTTACCTCTGCCACGGGTATCTTGGTCCAGCCGCGGCTGCAGGTAGTTGGTGAGTGCCCCCAGCTTACCCCCAGTGCTGATGCCCAGCCACGTGCCTCCTTCCTTGCCTTCTTCCATGTCAAGCCCTGTGGCAGGTGACAGAGTACGACTCATTGTAATAGGTCTGACACTGCTCTGGTTCTTGCCCAGAGCCTGTACCCTACGAAAAGCAATGTTGGTATCTCTATGAGAATATGTACCTCAGCCCAGCAGCCCTGGCCATGGGTTGGGATCCAACTCTGCAATGTGATAGGCAGTTCCTAGTGATAACCCTGTCCCACAGGACATGGCAGGCACTGAATATACCTGTCCTGCTGTCAATAGGGTGGATCTGAAACTGGGTGGTCTGCACGTGACTTCTACAGAACACATCTTACACATGGCCCAGGGATTGGGGTTCAGGCCACTAAGATAGCTTCCTACCCAGGGGCCTCATCTACAGGAACAGGCTCAGGTCCAGGCTATGGTCAGTACTCTACATGTCACCAAGCCTTGCCAGTAGGTAAGACAGGCCCTTAAAGCCATGGGAGAGGAGATGTAGGGTGTAGATCGGTGGCAGAGCACTAGCCTATCATGCAAGGGGCTCTGGGTTGGATTGCCAGCAACAACAACAACAACAAAACAACCATGGGAGGGCACTTGCTAGACTAGAGGGTTAGATTTCAGAAGACAGCCTGGGAGGCCAGGCAATGTGTCCCTGAGAGAACAATGAAGGAAGCTATGAGAATGAAGCCAAAAACGCACTGGAGACCCCAGAAAGGTGGTAAAGTCAGGGACTTGGAACAGCTGAGGAAAAAGTCAGGGACTTGGAACAGCTGAGGAAAAAGTCAGGGACTTGGAACAGCTGAGGAAAGCCACAAGGAGTAAGCAAAGCTAGCCCGAGAGAAGCCACGAGAGCTGCAACCTCTGGCAATGCCATAGGGGCATGACTGCCCAACGGTTTTGGAGTTCATATCTCACTACAGCTTGACCTGGGTGCTGGACATGGAACACGAGATTTAATGTCTGCCTTGTTAGGTTTCAGTCTTACTTTGGTCCCATTGGTTTCTATCTTCCCATTCCTCCTTTTTATAATGGGAATGTTTACCCAGTAACATTGTGTGTAAGCAGTGTTTAACTTTCTTTTTTATTTATTTATTTTTTAGAGACAGGGTCTCACTATGTAGTTGAGACTGACCTGGAACTCACTATGTAGCCCAGGCTGGTCTCGAACTCACAGCCATCCTCCTGCCTCAGAGCTGGGATTATAGGTGTGCACCACCACACCTGGCCCTGTTTTATTTTTATAGAGGCTCACAGCTAAAAGTTTGCTTTGAGTCTCAGAGGAGATTTTGGACTAGGACTTTTCAGCAATGCTGAAAGTACTGCCAAGACTGTGGTGACTCTTAACAATGCATTTTGTGTAAAGTGACACACCTGAGTCTTTGGGGGAGTAGAGGCCATCGTGTTATGGTTTAGACATAAAATGGCCTCAAAGACTTGTGTTTGGAAGGTGGATTATGGAGCAATACAGTTGACTTGCTGTTAGGTGGGGTGTGGTCACAAGTAGGTTACTGGGGGCATGGCCTGGAAGGGTACACAGTATATCCCTCCCCAAGCTTCTCTTTTTGCTTTCTTCTTCCTAGCTGCCGTAAGGAACAGCTTTTCTTCCACCACACCACTCTGCCATGACATCCTGCCTAGGAGCCAGACAACTTTGGACTAAAACATAAGCCAAAAAAGACCTCTCCTTAAGTTGTAGGTGTCTGGTATTTTGTCTCAGCAATGAAGAAAATGATTAAGACACCTCGTAGGATGGGTGAGAAAATGTGGAACAAAATAGACAATGAGAATGGGGCAGCAGTAATAAGAAGGGGGAAGATACTTTTTTGAGTACCCTTATCGTGTTGTTGTGACTCTTAGGACCATGGCAATAAAAATATACCCCATTTTCTAGGCTGCATTCGATGCTTTTGTTAATGTTGAAAGTACTACATTAGCCTAGGTGACATAATTGTGTTAATTAGTTGTTCCTTATGGTATACCAAGACTGAGATTGCCTAAGGATCTTAAAAAAAAGACCTATAGGCCAGTGCCAAAGAACCAGCAGCTCAACTAGGCAAAAACTTCTCATCCCCAATAAATTGAAGAGTAGGATTCTGAATAGACTCAAAACCAAAAAGCTAGCTATTCCTGAAAGATGCTTCTGAGAAGTAGTCATTTACTAAGGGTTCTGAATACTGGCAATAAAGCTATTTGCCATAAGCAATTTATAAGCATCAACTCAGGAATCAAACTTAAAAAAAGAAAATGAAGGGCCTGGCGTGGTAGCACATGCCTGTAATCCCAGCACTCAGGAAGCAGAAGCAGGGGGATCATGAGTTCAAGGCTAGCCTGAACTACAAAGTGAGACTCTGTCTCAAAACACCAATAAATAAATAAGAGAGAGAGAGAGAGAGAGAGAGAGAGAGAGAGACTTAAACAAGATACAATCCCACAGACAAAGGCAAACCCCAGAGGCAATGAAGTGGAACAATCCAAAAGCTACCCACCTGGACTCTTCTGAAGTGGTAATAGCAGAGATAACAAAGTAGATGAATGAGGCTCTAGAGAAAAAAAAAAATCAAAGCAGAAATAATTTCCCAGATAACTACAGAAATGGTGACAAGAATGAAATATACAGACAAAAAATCCACAAGAACTCAGGAACATGGAAACCATGAATGCCCATCATAGGAAAGAAATGGAATCCATGAAACAGATTCAAACAAATATCCAGGAGAAAAACTCCACTGAAAGTATATGCAGCAGAATGAGCCAATATGAGGACAGAATATCAGATATAGAAGACAGGATTGCAGTTAGCAATCATGAAAAGAGAGATTTCTTAAAAATTGCAAGGGACCTGAGAAATCAATCCAACAGCTGCTAGATGATGCAAAGAAGAATAATATAAGATTTATTGGAGTCAGTGAAAAAGCAGGCGATACTGCAGATGATATAAAAAACAAGCTCTCAGAAGTAATGGCAGAAAAGTTCCCAAATAGGGAAAAGAAATTTGAGGTACAGATAAGTTAGGCATATAGGACTCCAATTAACCATGATTAAAACAAACAAACAAACAAAAAAAAAACTTCTCCAAAGCATATAACAGTCAGGATTTCAGAAATTCAACACAAGGACAGAATATGAAACGCTATTAGAGAAAAGAAACAAATCACCTATAGAGGAAAGCACATCAAAATCACATCAGACTTCAACACAAACTCAAGTCAAGGAAAGCTTGGAGTGAAGTATTTCAAGTCCTAAAGGAAAACAATTTCCAACCCAGATTGACGTACCTTGCAAAACTATCCTTCAAAACTAATGGAGAAATAAGATACTTCCAGGACAAAGAACATCTAAAGAAATGCATGACCACCAAACCAGCGCTCCAAAGAGTTCTGAAGGATATTCTAGAAAGAGACAAATAAGGACTATACTCCATGAACCCCAACAGAATGAATCCACCAGGCAAGGCAAGAAATTAAACATAAAAGGAAAGAAGGAAGCCAGCAGCTGGAAAATAACACAACTGAGATAAGACAATAAATATATATCAATAATAACCATGAATATTAATGGTCTCAATTTAACAATCAAAAGAAAACAGACTGGCAGAATGGGTCTGGAAGCAAGATCCAATAATATGCTGCATACAAGAAATACATTTAATTTAAAAACAAATTCATAGGGCTGGGGATTTAGCTCTATGGTGCCGCCACCTGCCTTGCAAGCACAAGGTCCTGAGTTCAAAACTAAATAAATAAAATAAATAAAAACAAATTCATAGTCAAAGTCAAGAAATGGAAAATAATATTCCATGCAACAGGAACCCAGAAAAAAGCAAGGGTAGTTATTCTATTTGCAGACAAAGTGGATTTCAAGCCAAGATGATTAGGGGAGACAAAGAAGGTCATTACATCCTGGTAAAGGGAACAATCCAAGAGGAAGATATAGCAATTATAAACATATATGCACCAAATAGCACACCCAACTATACAAAACTAATATTAACAGACATGAACAATCATTTAAGCACTAATACAACTGTAATGGGGGACCTCAATATCCCACTGTCACAAATAGATCAACTAGAAAAAAATAAATGAAATATTAGAATTGAACTAAACTTTTGAACAAATGGATTAGATGTCTATAGGGTTCCACCGCACATCAGAATACACATTCTTCTCAGCTGCACATGAGAGCTCTCCAATAAACCATACACTAGCTCATAGAACATGCTTAATTAATTGCAAAGGAATTGAAATAATCCCATGCATATTATCAGACCACAGTGTAATGAATTTGGAAACCAACAACAAAAAAACAAAACAAAAAAAAAAACAAATAAACACAAGAACTTCATAAACACATGGAAATTAAATAACACCCTCCTGAACAACCAATTGTTCACAGATGAAATTAAAGAAGAAATCAGAAAATTTCTACAATAAAATAATAATGACAGTACAACATGCTGGAACTCATGGGATGCAATGAAAGCAGTCCTATGAGGGAAATTTATAGGGGTGAATTCCTATATCAGGAAAAAGAGTGGGATTAAACAACCTACTGTTGAATTTCAAGCTTCTAGAAAAAGAAGAGCAAGTCAAGCCCAAAGCTCAGACAGGGGAGGAAATTATAAAAGTCAGAGTAGAAGTTAATGCAATGGAGACTAAGAAAACAGTACAAAGAATCAATGGAGGGCTGGTGATTTAGCTCAGTGGTGTTGCTGCCTACCTGGCAGACACAAGGTCCTTCGATCCCTGGTACCAAAAAAAAAAAGAATCAATGGATCAAAGAGTTTTCTTTGAAAGATTAAATAAAATCGATAAACCTTTAGCCAACCTTATCAAAAAAGGGAAGAAAAGACTCAAACACATGCAATTAGGAATGAAAAGAGATCCAGAAGATCACCAGTATCTACTTTGCAAACCTGAATTCTAATAAGATGGAAAATACAGACAAAATGGGCAGATTCCTAGATACATTTGAATTACCAAAAGTGAATCATGAAGATATAGAAATTCTAAATAAATCAAAAGTCAATGAAACAGAATATACAATTTAAAAACTACCAACAAAGAGAAGCCCTGGCCCTTATGGATTCACTGCTGAATTCTACAAGAAATTCAGAAAAGACCTAATGCCGCTAACTCCTCAAACTTTAATGAAACTGAAAGGGAAGCAATACTCCCAAATTCATTCCTGAAAGCAAGTACTACCCTGATTCCAAAACCAGAGAGGGATCCAACCAAAAAGGAGAATTACAGGCCAATCTCTCTAATGAACATAAATGCATAGATACAGACAGAATGCAGCAAATCATCAAGAAGGTTATACACCATGACCAAGTTGGATTCATCCCAGGGATGCAGGGATGGATCAACATATGCAAATCAATAAATGCAATACATTATATTAATAGCGCCAGACAAAAACTATATGGTCCTCTCAAAAGATATGGAAAAAGCATCTGACAAGGTCCAACATCCATTCATGATAAAAAATCCTACAGAAAATCAGTACAGATGGTCTTCATCTCAATCTGATAAAAGTCATCTACGACAAACCAATAGGCAAGTTCATGTTAAATGGACAAAAACTGAAAACTTTCACTCTAAAATCAGGAACAAGAAAAGGATTGTCCACTGTCACCACTCTTTTTCAATATAGTTCTGGAAACATTAGCCAGAGCAATTAGACAAGAGAAAGAAATAAAAAGAATAAGGACAGGAAAGGAAGAAGTTAAATTATTATTTGTAGATGACATGATATTGTACATAGAAGACCCCAAAAACTCCATGAAGAGACTTTTAAATTTGATAACCAAATTCAGTGGCGTAGCTGGATACAAAGTCAACACTCAAAAGTCAATAGCCTTCCTGTACATAAATAACAGACTCACAGAGAGAAATTAGAGAAACTATCCCTTTTATAACAGCATCCCAAAAAATGAAATACGTAGGAATCAATTTAACAAAGGAAGTAAAAGACCTCTATATTGAAAACTACAGTACTCTGAAAAAGGAGAATGAAGAGGATATCAAAATGGAAAGATATCCCCTGTTCTTGGATAGGAAAAATCAATATAATGAAAATAGCTATACTTCCAAAATTGTTATAGAGATTTAATGCAAGCAATCCCAATCAAAATCTCTACAGAATATTTCACAGAATTAGAAAAAGCACCGAGCATGGTGGTGCAGGCCTGTAATCCCAGCACTCAGGAGGCAGAGGAAAAAAAAAAATAGGGCTGGGGATTTAGCTCAGTTGTGCTGCTGCTTGCCTTACAAACGCAAGGTCCCAAGTTTGAATCCCCGGTAACAACAGCAACAACAACAACTAAAAAAGAGGCCAGGGATTTAGCTCAGTTGTGCCGCTACCTGCCTTGCAAGCACAAGGTCCCAAGTTCGATCCCCAGTACTAAAAAAAATTAAAATATTAGAAAAGGCAATCCTAAAATTCATTAAGAACCAGAAGAGACCTGGAATAGCAAAAGCAATTCTGGGCAACAAAAGGCAAGGCAGAGGGTATCAGAATCCCTGACCCGAAATTATACTACAAAGCTACTGTGATTAAAAAAAAAACAAAACAGTGTAGTACTAAAAAAAAAAGAACAGACCTGAGGATCAGTGGAACAGACTAGAAGATGCAGAAACAACTCCAAATATATTCAGCCACCTTATCTTTGACAAAGGTGCCAAACACCTTCACTGGAAGAAAGATCTCCTCTTTAATAAATGGTGCTGGAAAAGCTGGCTTTCCACATGCTAAAGATTGAAACTAAAACACATAATTTTTAACCAAACACTAACCTAAAATCAAAGTGGATCAATGAATTTTTTGTTGTTGTTGTTGTTTTGAGACAGGGTCTCACTATGTAGTTGAGACTGACCTGGAACTCACTATGTAGCCCAGGCTGGTCTCAAACTCACAGCGATCCTCCTGCCTCAGCCTCCCAAGTGCTGGGATTACAGGCTGCGCCACCACTACCGGCCAATGATTTAAATATTAAAAGAGAAACACTAAATCTTCTGGAAGAGAGACTAGGTAGAATGCTTGAGGACATAGGAGTAGGCAAAGGCTTCAAAAACAAAACACAAACCTACCAGCTACTCCTTCAGACAAAGCACTATTATCTAGAAATATAAAGAACTCAAAAAATCAGACCCCCAAATACAAAGACCCGATTCAAAAATGGGCATCTGAAATGAAGACATTTCTCAGACAAACAAGTAAAGCAGCAAATAAAAATATGAAAAAATGTTCAACATCACTGGTCATTAAAGAGATGTAAATTAAAACAATGCTGAGATTCCATCTAACTCCAGAAACAATGGCTGCTATCCAGAAATCAACCAACAGATGCTGGATAGGCTGTGGGGAAAAAGGAAACCTTCTCCACTACTGGTGGGAGTGTAGACTGGTGCAACCACTGTGGAATTCAGTGTGGAGATTTCTCAAAAACAAACTAGAGGTTCCATTTGACCCACCTACCTCTTCTTGATATCTTCCCGAAAGAATAAAACCATCATACTACAGCAATATATGCACACCCATGTTTACAGCAGCACAGTTTGTAAGAGCTAATCTTGGAAACAGCCCACATGACCATCAACTGACAAATGGATACAGATGATACGGGGTTTTTTTATACAGTGGGGTGCTACTCTGCCACTAAGAAGGACAAGCTTCAGATATTTATAGCTAAATGGAGAGACCTTGAGACCATACTCTTAAGTGAAGTAACTAGGGCACTTTTTTTTTTTGTGGTACGAGGGATTGAACTCGGGACGTTGCACTTGCAGAGCAGGCAGCAGAACCACAGAGCTAAATCCTCAGCCCAGGACACACATTTTAAATGCCGCCTTGTTTGTCTGGTGTGAGAAACCAAAAGTAGAAATAAGGTCTGAAATGTATACTGGATGTTGGGAAATGGGAAGAAAGTGTTCAGATGGGAAGGGGAACTGGGGAGGAGGGAGAGAGGGAGGGAGGGACAGAAAAAAGTGAAAACAGAAGGAAGAAATGGAAATGATGTTTTTGTAAAAGGGGGCTTGAGGGGGAAAATGATATAAAATAAAATTTATTTAAAAAACAAAACAAAATAGTATTCGGGAGGCTGAGGCAGGGTTGCTGAGTTTGAGGCCAGCCTGGGTTACATGGTGAATTAGGCCAGCCTGAATTACATAGTGAGAACTTGTCTTTAAAAAAAAAATTAATTAAAAAAGAACAAAAAAACTCCGTGAAGGAACTGGGAAAACCAAACAGTTCTGCAAAAGAACAAAGATGGAGGACTTACACTATATCTGATCTGAGACCTGCTAAAAAGGACAGCTGTTTGATGTTTGTTTCTTTTTTTGAGCTGGGGTCGCTCTGTGTTGCCTGAGCTAGACTTGACTTCCTGGGCTCATATGATTCTCCCACCTCACCTTCCCAAATAGATGGGACTATAGACATTCGTCGCTCCATGTGGCTCAAAAGGACAGTAAGATCCTATGATTTTGATATCAAGACAAACACATACCAATGGGACACAACAGAGTCTGGAATACACCCACACATGTGTAATCAAGTGGTCTACAACCAACTTTCCATAGTTATACAACAAGCAGAAGAATATCCATCTAATAAACGATGCTGAAACAGCTAGAGGGATGGGGGAGGGGACGACCATTACCTTACACCATGTACAAAAATCATTTTTAGATAAATCATAGACCAGTCATAGACCTCAAACTCAGAAGACTTCTGGGCAAATGGAGAAAAACATCACTGACCTTAGGGGCAGCACAGACTTCTTGGATAAAACACAAACTACAATGGAGTAGATAAAATGCATTTTGCTAAAAAAAAAAAAAAAATCTGCTCACCCAAAAGACAGCATCAAGGAAACGAGTAGGCGTACATTTATCCAACAAAAGTCATCCAGAATGCATAAAGAAATCCTACAAATCAGTAATTTAAAAATGAGTAAGAATTACTTATCTGGCCAAGGAATAGAGTTAAGATTTTCTCTCCTGTATAAAGCAAGCAAGCAAGCAAACAAACAAACAAAAAATACGGGGGGGGGGATGGACCTTAAGATAAAACATCTGAGAAATAAGAAACAAAGTGAGCCCCTAATTAGATTGAAGTCCCCAGGATCTAGTAGGGAGAGGTAGGGATCCAGGCAGAGGCCCGCTGACTCCCTGAGCCGAGGACGGGGTGGAGAGTTCAGGGATACTGAGGCAGCCAGACTTCCTGAGACACAGAGCTGTACAGAGGACCCTGGAGATGGGATCAGCCGGGGAAGAATGCCCAGTATTGAAGGAGACAGCCTCACACAGGGCAGGGGACACTGCCGGCTCTCAGAAGCCACATTAGAAAAAGCACATGATTCCTGCTACACTGGGTTAACTACTGAGCAAAGTCAGACCTGACAAGTTGAGAATAATTAGCCCTGGACTGGGCATGGCTCTGCACTTGTCTGTCAAATTTCAAGCAAAAGACCCAAAAGGATTAAATGCTCTCTTAAACCTTATTTGCATCTAGAACAAACTCAATGGTAATATTTCTAGGAACACAAAACGTACCCCACTCAAGGCTTTTCTCTCAAACACAGCCCACTATGCCTGGAGCGAGGAGTGTACAACAGAACCACGGGTGCAGATACAAACACGCCAGGTGCGCGAGCACACACACACACACACACACACACACACGCAGGTGCCTTGGAAAGTGGCCAAGGGACAGTTTCCGTGCACAGACTGACCATGGCGTGTGAAGTCATGTGGACAGTGCCGGGTGGACAGTTCGAGGGGCGGTGCTAGGTTGGCCACTGAGCATCCTTGAGCTGCCCACCCGGCACTCCATTCGTATATTCGGCATTTACACTGGAAGCAGGGCCCCATGGGGCTCATTTTGGACTTGTGCATTCATGCTGTTCCAGGGGCTCAGGTGGGGCCCGCTGAATGGCTGTCACTCAGTGTGAAAGAAGACTTACCACTAAGAATCTCATTGTTGTTCCCCCAGAAGTCGGCTAGCTTGGACGGTCTGTGGTAGAATTCATCCCTGTTGGCTGCCAAGATAAGCCTAAGAGAAGAAGGTGTGACTGGCCATCTCTCACAGAAACACAAAAGCCGTATCTTCCCAGTAGGGATTGAACCCAGAGCCTTCACCCTGAGCTATATCCCTAGTGCCCCGTCCCTCTTTAACCTTTTTGGTCTTGAGACAGGGTCTCACTAACTCCCTAAATTGCCTAGGCTGGGTTCAAACTTGTGATCCTTCTGCCTCAGCCTCCCAGGGTACCCCATTTGGCCCACTCTGCCCCTAGCTGCAGCACCAACTACTTGTCTCATCTACTCAGCCACCTTCAGGGTTTCACCGGGTCTGCCCAGGGCAGAAGGGTGGCCATCACCCGTGCTACAATGCCTAGCCATTCACAGAATAATCCTCTGCACATCCAACTGCTGAGTTCCAACCCAGACTCAGCCTGTGTCTCCCACCGCAGCTGCTCTGTCCCTTCTGGGTGGAGATGCACCACCACCACTACAGCAAGGACAGCAGCAGCGCCTGCCTTCCCTGGTCCCAGCCCCACCCTGGCAGGCACCATTCAGGCAATAAGCACATCTGCCCGTGAGCCTGCACGGTGTGGCCTGGAAGACGTCAGGAAAAGGGAGATAACATAGTCCTCAGTGGGAGACTGTAGAGTTGTGGAAGGCACACCAGGGACCAGGCTGAGAGGCCCTATCCCCCTAGAGATGGGAGTTAATTTCCATGTGGTCCTGTTCAGATACTGCCTCTCAAATTCCAAATGTTCCTTCTCTGCTCTCACCTCCCCAACCCTTGAGGGTGAGTGAAGAAAGGGAGCTGGGAGACCCCTGTCAGAACCCAGGGCTCATGCAGGGCATGGTGGTGCACACCTGTAATCCCAGCACTGGGGAGGCTGAGGCAGGAGGATTGCTGTGAGTTCGAGACAAGCCTGGGCTACAGAGTGAGTTCCAGGTCAGTCTCAACTACATAGTGAGACCCTGTCTCAAAAAAAACAAAACAAAACAAAAAACAAAAACAAAAAAAAAAGAACCCCGGGGCTTCTAGAGGGTGATAAGCTCTGAAGCTCAAAAACAGTTTGGGGCAGTTGGCTTTGGTTGCCAACTATAATCTTACTTTAGGTTGCCAATTCTTACATTATGCTCTATCAAAGGAAAAAAAAATTTAAGAGGAAATGAGAAGAAAAGCTGACTAAGCAGAGCATTTTGTACCAAGATGTTCAACTGCCTATTTTTAAACAAGGAATGTGCTTTCCTAATGATTTGAGAACATTAATTGCCAGGTTATTTTTACTGTAGGAGTCCCTGTTTAGCTGAACTGCCGGTGGTTTGGCGGGGATTTCATTAAATACATAATTCAGAGATGAGCCCGTATGATGAGCACTCACACTGAGCCCTTGGCAGAGGAGGACGTTACTCCCTCAGTCAACACTGGTGGGGCTGCCGCGCAGAGGAAGTTTCATCTGCACCCAGCGTGCGGGGCTCTAGGACGCGAGTCATCCCCAGCTTTGTTCTGTTCCACTAACTGCAACCACCACCAACGGGCCATCAGCACAGGCACGCCTCACACTGTGGGGTTAGCATTTGCATTCTCTGAGGGGGCGAGTCTAGGCACCATTTGAGGGGTCGATGTCATCATCTGATGGGGGAGGGGTGAGCTGCCAGCAAGCAGCAAGTGCTCTGTGCTGCGACCCAGGAATCAGGTCCTGGGGAGGGGGGCAACCCCAGGGGCCACAGCTCACCCAGCAGCCACTCCAGGTTGTAGCTGGCAAGGGGATTCGCACAAAAGTATAAAAAACATTTTTTAAGAAGGTGAGGGTTACATGACAATGTGACCATGTTACCCTGCTGACAGTGTCCCCGGTTTCTAGGACAGGTATCAAATTACCACAAACATGGCAGCTTAAAGCTATGAATACTGATCATTATCGCAAAAAACACAGTCCCAGGTTCTAAAATCCTAAAAGACCAAACACCCTAAAGACTATGGGGTGTGGTAGCTAGCACATGCCTGTGATCCCAGCTACTCAGGAACCTGTGACAGAAGGATCATAAATTCAAACTCAGCCTGGGCAACTTTGTGAGACCCTGTCTCAAATTAATTAATTTTTAAAAAATGACTGGGGGGGATGTAGCTCCTTGAGTTCAACCCCTAGTACCAAAACAAACATCTAAAATCTAAAGATTTCACTGGGTGTGGTTGTGCATGGCTGTAATCCCAACACTTGGGAGGCTGAGGCAGGAGGATCACTGGTCGAGGCCAACTTGGACTACATATGAGTTTAAACCCCACCTGAAATACACAGGGAGACCATCTCCAAAAAACCACCAATCAATGAAATCTAAATACCTGTAAATTCTTTTTTTTCCCAAACAGGGTCTTGCCAGATAGTGCAAGCTGACCTTAAACTCACTATCTAGCTCAGGAAGGCCTCCAGGAACTCTCAGTGATCCTGCCTCCCTAACGCTGGGACTATAGGTGTGTACCACCACACCTGGCTCCAAATTCTAAATCCTAAAAAATCACATTTTTTTTAGATCAATGTTGAAACCCTTCTCAACTGCTGAAATCCTTAAAAACTGAATCCCCAAAACTGCAATCCCATGGCAAAAAAAAAAAAAAGCTACATAAAGGGGGATAGAAAGCAAACATATGGGGAAAAGATTGGCCATGAGATGCAGCAACAACAAAAATATCAGTTTAAATATGTATTGTTTGGGCCGGGGATTTAGCTCAGTGGTTTGGTGGCCTGCCTTGCAAGCGCAAGGACCCGAGTTCAATCCCCGGTACCAAAAAAATAAATAAATAAAAATAAAAATGCATTGTTTGTGTGTATTGGTATTGAGCTTATAGGTAGAAATGTTGAAACTTCCTCAGTAAATGGAATGATGTCCTTTTTATATGGTACATATTTGTGAAAACCAAAGTTTCTCCAAATCTCTGCTCTTGGGGTAACTACCCAGCAGCAAACTATCAGTTCCAGGTGAATCTTAGACTGTCTGTCATGATTATTTCCAAAGACCACAGTGATAAAGCTGAGTCCATATAATCACCAACCGTGGTGACGTTGTGCATTTACACATTTCCTTTTTTTTGGTACCAGGGATCGAACTTGGGATTTCGCACTTGAGAGGAAGTGGTGGAACCACTGAGCTAAATCCCTGGCCCTACACATTTCAATGCTGACTCATTCCTTTTTTTGGTTTGTTTGGTACTGGAGATTGAACCCAGGGCCTCCACCTGAGCTATATCCCCTGGTCATTTTTATGTTTAGTTATTTTGAGATACAGTTTTTCAAGGTAGCCCAGACCGGCTGCAAACTGTCAATACTCCTGCCTTAGTTTCCCAAGGGCTGGGATTATAGCCATGTGCCACGACATTGATCAAGAATTGTTTTCTCTTTTCCAGCATTGTATTCTGAGGATTGTGATTTTGGTTTACACTTTAGGGATTTTTGGAGATTTCAGCATTTAGGGTTGTGCCATTTGGGATGATGGCCCAAACCCAGAGCAACACCCACTTGTCTGCTCATCCATAGGTCAGTAGGCTGAGCGGGCACTCTCTACAGATCCCAAGGCTATCACTGAGATGCCAGTTAGGTTCCACAGAAGGACCTATCCTACCAGTTTCTGGCCTGCCACTGTGGCTAGACACCTCCAGGGCTGGAAGGGAAGGGGCCACTGGAAGCCCCTTTGCACCCCTCCCTCAAAGTTGAGAAAGCCTAATGCATATTCCCTCAAGTCACTTAGGAGCAGCTTATTTATTCTTTGACCAGTGTCCTTTGAGCTGAGGGTTAAGCCTCCTTTTCTTTTTCTTTTTTTGGTACCAGGGATCGAATTCAGGTCCTTGCGCAACAGGCAGCAGAACCACTGAGCTAAATCCCCAGCCTCCTCTTTAATCACTTTGTTAAAAGCTTATCTCCAAACACAGTCATATTCTGACAAATGAGGACTCAACATAGGTATGAGGGGGACATAATGCAGCCCCTAGCTTTGCGATGACTGTTGCTGACTCCCATCAAGAGTCTCTCCTCTTGCTGCTGTGACTTCACAGGTACAAACTCAAAGGGACTATTTTCACACTTCACCAAGAGCCAGCTGTGATAGTCACAATGCAGGCCCTGGGAACAAAGCCTGGCTTTCTAATCAATATTTTCAACTCAGGTTATTTCGGCATGTTTTCCAATGATCTCATTTTTTGCTAAGGAAGTGACAGAGGGAAAACAGTAAATGAAAGGATGATCTTCAGGGTCCCAGGCCGACTTGAGGTACAGTGAGGCCCAAGGAGGTCTAGGCATTCAGTACTAGCTCACAAGTCTCCTGCCTCAGCCTCCTGAGGATATGGGATTACAAGTGCGTGCCACTGCACTCAGCTCTCACAGTTCTTCCTTACTGCCTGTTTGTAGGTGATATGCATACTCACCATTTCTTCTCCCTCCTTCCTACCACCCTGACTTTAACAAAGGTGGTCATCAGGGAACACGTGGGGTTGTGGCTGTACTGGGAATCATAGTGCTCACGGCAGATTCAAGGACTGCTACTGGGCTGTGTTGCCTTGCTTAGAGGATGCTGGGGAGGATGAATTCGAGGATGAAGGGCAGCTTTTGCCCATCTCAGGAGGCCCCTACAACATGTGTGGCCTCCCCAAGTTCTTGCTCCTACAGGGCCAGTAGTAAGCAGCATAAAGCGGCCAGCACCCTCATCCAGCATCCAGTAACAGGTGCTGGTACCCAGAAGATAGACTTTTAGCAAGTCCTGCCAGCATGGCACCCCAGGGACTTCCTGTCATCTAACTAGTGGGTCACAGCCATGCTTTCTCTGGAAAGGTCCAGATTTCAGCCTGATGGTAAAAGAGAGGGCTCTATCCTGGGCATCCCATCTCCGCCCTGAGGCAAGTGACTGCTCCCAATATCTGCTATTCCTGTATTCTTAGAGATCTGTTCACTTCTCTCCAGCCAGTGCCCTATTATGGTTAGTAAGTAGTTCTTTATACAGTTGCTCTGCAGGATTGTGTCTGGAGGCTGGACCCTGACTTGCTTCACTCTCTGCTAGGGGCTGCTCAGGATCACCTCCTGGAATCTGGCCTGCCTCCACGGTCCATCCCTCTGCAGGAAGGGAAAAAACACTGGACACTCCTCAGTTGCTGTTTCCTGGCCTGAAATGAGGAAATTCAGCTGTGATGTTAGGTGCCATGGTATCTAGGCAATTCTTTCGTGACTCAGTAGGAGAACTTAGCTCAAACCTTTCTGGCACACACTTTTAGATGATGAAAACAGCCAGGTCTGGTGGTACATACCTTCAGCACTCTAGGAAGCTGTGACAGGAAGATTACTGAGACGCTGCCACTGGGACTCGGCCAAGCAGGGCCTAGCCACGGGCCGCGGGGCCTGCCCTCGCCTCTCCTGTACATGGCGTCCAAGTAGAGTGAGAATAAACCCACGTCCCAGACCCAGCTGAGCATGGCAGACGCAGGGAAAGGGAGTTACCTGTATGCATTTTTGGAAACAGGGCGAGGATCAAACTTAAAGAAGATGATGCACATGGGTTGCAAGGGGTAGCGCTGCTCACACAGGGTCACGAAGTCTGAGGGAAAAGGAAAAGAATGAGTTGCATACGGCAGTCAGCAAACGGCAGAAGGGCCTCACTGAACCTCAATGAATAGCCCAGAATGGAGAACCACCAGTGAGCAGGGCCAAACGGCTGAGAATCACACCTTGCCAGCACCAAGCTTGCCCTTCAGCGGCTCTTCATCAGTACCGGACAGTCTGAATCTCCGCCACCCACAACTCACCCTGGTCCTATGGGTGCTCACTGGCAGGGGGACTTGTGAGTGGGCACTGAAAGGGGTGGCAGCAGCAAGCGTAAGAATCAGACATTCAGCCGGAGCCAGCAGGCGACAGGCCCTCCTCTCCAACAGTGCCAGGTTCCCCCCTTAAGACTTCATCTTGGTGCCAGTACCCCAAGGCAGGGCATTATGCCCCTTCACCTGGGAAGCTTTGTACACTTGCATCAGCAGGTGGGCACATGTGCTAGGGATGTGCCTTCAAGCCTGGGTGATACTGTGTGTATGTTTCGGGCCCTCTGTGCATCTTGCCAAGGCACGAGGTCAGGGTGAGATGTCCAAGCCTAACCTATTCTGACCACATCTCAACAGGTCATGGGCGGGGGGCCTCCAAGCAGTCACCAGTTGCCCAGGGCATCTTCCTGGGCAAGGGACACCAAAGACTATCTATGGGTATAAAAGCAACAGGCATAGGCTGAGGAAGGCTCCAGCTCACTGTTCTAGGCTAGAGCCTCTGACAGCCACCACGGCTGTGGGAACAGTGAGAGCTCTCCTCTGACATCAGTAGCCCCTGATTCTCGGGTCTCTGAAATGAAACCTTTGGAGACTCTGCATCTCAGCATCCACAGATCCACAGAACAAGGTTATTTTCACTGCACCACCCACAGGGAACCTGCCAACTTCTTGAACTTTTTTTCCATGGATACTAGTACCGTGTTCCCCACTCACCGGTCTAGTTCGTGGGGAGGACACAAAGGACTGACTCACCATCCATGAAAGCTTTTCTGCTACTGTGTCCCTCCCAGCTCACACAGACCACAGACTGAGACCACCAAGGGACCCACACCCAAATGGACCTGAAGGACCTCCCCTCCACCAAGGACTGAGCTCAGGACACTCTAGTCCTCCTCCACCTCACCACATACCCTTCCTCCTCGGAATCTACCATGTGCCAGGACCCCACAGGCATGGATGACAGCCCTAGGAAAGAGCTAGCGGTCGTGAAAGTGAGGCAACACTGTGGTGATGAGACCATCGTAGAAGCAAGGTTGCTAGGGGTGTGCAGTCCCTGAAGACGAGCATGCACTGTCAGGCGCCCATCACCTCTGGTGGGATGGGATGGTGCTCAACTCAGAAGGGCTCTGTGTAGGAGAGGTCAGAGATCAGAAGTGGGCTGGGTCGGGTACCCCAGTGGCGCTCACTGGGGCCATCGTCCCAGGGGTAATTCACGGCTGGTGGGAAAGCGACTGGGCCGACTCTCTTAGTCAGAACAAAGAAAGGGCTGTGAGGCAGTGGCTCAGCGACAGAGTACTTGCCTAGCATACTCAAGGCCCTGGGTCCAATCCTCAGTACAAATACATGAACGCATAAAATGCTTGAAAAAAATGAAAATGTCTGAAAAGCAGCTAAGAACTGACAAGATCACCCAGAATGTGGCCAACATCTCAGAGAAGGCAGGGATCCGGAGACAGCCGCAGGGCACAGTGGCTATTTCTGGGGCTATTTCTGCCCCAGAGCATCTACCCATTGGGGCAAATTTGGGCTTGGGTTCTGGTTGCCTTACAGGAGAAGGACACAGAAGATAAGGCCCAAGGCCCCCTACCAAGATGGGAAATTTAAGAAGAGACCCTCCCTTAAATTAGGTCGCAACCCTAAAGATAAACACTCTCAGGGTAAGTGAAAGTGACCTACATCCACAGCCTCCCCCAAGGGCTATAGGGACTTGTGCAAAAGTCGGGGGAAGTTCTTTAGAAGTTCTGATACAGTCTTCTGTGGACCACAGCCGGTTCACGCAGGGGAGGACAGGGACCCTCAAGCAGGTAGTGCCTTTGGAAACCAGTGCCCGGAGAAAGGACCAGCAGAAAGAGATCTACACAAATATGTATCAAAGAACCACTCCCCCCCAAAAAAACTCTGGGAAATCTATAGGATAATAAAGGAAATGATGGTTAAAAAAAAAAAGTTTACAAAGTACCAAAAGGATCTTTTAGAAAGTTCTTCAAAAAATGAGAGTTATAGGAACCACAAGTTGAAGGTCAGCAGTGTTTTGTTTTGTTTTTTCTTATGAGGCATTAAACAGCAATGAATTTAAGAGCAGATTGGAAGCCAGGCACTAGCACCTGCCTGGGCAGCTTAGTGAAACCCTCTCTCAAAATTTTACAAAGGGCTGGGGATACAGCTCAGTGGTAGAACCCTTGCCTAACATGTACAAGGCCCTGAATTCATCCTGGACCTGCCCTGTGTTAGTGGCTTTTCTCTCACTGCTGAGACAAAACACCTGACACCCAAAGTTAAAAGGGAAGGGGTTTATTCGGCTTACAGTTTGCAGAAGTTTCAGTCCATAATCAGCAGACTCCAAGGCAGGGCTGACAAACAGGCCTGGCAGAGCAGAAACATCACAGTGCACACAAGGCAGCAAAGGTAACAAGAGAGAATTACCAGCATCTTTCTGCCCCTTTTATCTTACTCAGACTACCAGGATTAGGGCGGTGCCAAACTAGTGCTTACTTGTAGTGGTTTAATAATCACACGCCCTTAACCCCAGCCTCACACATTCCAGATTAAACTACCTCTGAAAAAGGAAGTCCCACCCTGTCAGCACGAGGCTTTGGGGGGGACATCTAGATACAAACCATAAAATGCCCCCACCCCCCAAAAGAGCATATTGAACACAGCTGATGAGATGGATCAACAGAATCATCCAGAAGGCCATGCAGAGAGATGAGAAGTACGCTGGGCCTTGTGAGGGCCCCAGGAGTCTCACTTGCTGCAAACGGGAGATCCTGGCACCCTCCACATTCCCAGAAGACACAAGTGTTCTCACCCGAGGAGAGCCAGCCTTCCCCAGACGCGACAACCTGCTAATCTGCGGTCACTGGCAGAAGCCCCGCCAGCCAGTCCCTGCTGGAATCCCGCTCGCCCAGAGCACAGGCGCTCCCTAAGGCCTAAAAGCAGAGGGCTCTTCCGAGGGCTGCCCACTGGGAACACACTGTACTAGGGTGTCAGAGGGGGCCTGCACTCTCAGCCTAGGCCCATTTCAACCCTCCCTGCCTGGGGACCTGGCTGCTGGCTGGGACACTGATAGGGCCGGCTCTGGCTCCCTAGTTCAGCTGCAGAACCCTGCTATCCTAGCCAGCCTAGCTGAGTAGCAGACCAGCATTGCAGGCAGCAGTGGTGGGCAGGGCTCCATGGTCCAGAAGAAGCCACCGATGGATCTCCAGGCAGCCTGGTACTGGAGTTGTGGGCCCAGAGCCCACGGCTGTGGTCTTGATGAAAACGCGGTCATTGGGAGGGAAAGACCAGAGGAAAGCCAGCCCCTGGGGAGGGGACCATCAGGAACTGCCTTTCTCTCCAGTCCCTCACCCCCCACTCGAGCCAGGCCCACTGTCCACTGGCCCCTCCACCCAGCTCTGGTCAACAGTCCACCTTCTTCCCTTCCCTCTTTCCTTCCCCTAGTGCAGTCCACGCCTTCACCGAGATCCCCATATACTCCACTCCCTCAGCAAACTCCTGATAGGTCCCAGTGGGCCCTGTGTGTCTCCCACCCAGTCCCCCTACAGAGCTGTGATGCCCACCCTGCTCAGTGGGTCACCTTCTCACTTCTACTGACCCGCCCAGTTCTGAGAGGGTCCTAGATACAGCCTTTGGCTCCTAGTCACTGCACAGCCAAAACCACCCCACAGGGAAAACCTCACTGTGTGCCTGCCTACTCATCCCTCAGGGACACTTCCCACTGCATCCACAGTCAGCAGAGCCCACCACGCCACTGGTGAGCTACGACTCATCCTCAAGGGCACGGACATGCGCCACTCGTACGGGATGCCTGAGAGAGACTGGTGTCTACAGGAGAACGAGTTTCCCCAGTGATTCCTGCACTGCCACGCCTTACCCCTAGGCACGACACACGGGACGTCTCCAGCAGCCTGAGAAGGCCACGGTGTGGTCAGGACCGTACAGGGTTCTGCAGTCACCTCTGAGGCCCACGCAGGCAGAGCCAGGCGGTAAGAGCAAGTGAAGGAAGAGGCAGGCAGGGAAGCCAGGAGCCCAGGCAGCAGCCTTGCCCACAGGCCTCTGGAGCCCTGGCCTGGCACTGTCTGAACACCTGTGGGGAGCTATGCCCATCTCTGAATCCTATGACAGGGCTTCCTGCCCCAGGGGGCCAAGGCTGCCATGAAAGTAATCTGCACACACGGCCAGGTTGGCCGACAGCAGCCAGATGTCGCACACTGCTTTTTCCAGAGGTAAAGGTCTCCCTCATCTCTTCTAGTCTCGTGTCAAACAGGAATAACAGGAGAATGCAGGCTGAAGGGGAGAGGGAAGGCACAAGTGCCACCCACAGAAATACCTGACGGTCAGCCAGGGCTCCGCAGGGCAAGAAGTGGGAGGCTGAGGTACTCTTTCCACGGGCCTTGAGATCCACGGGGGTGATGCAGCCCTTTAAGAGCGCAGGCAAGGTGTGCAAGGTCACATGACTGGCATGGCAGGCTTATGGAGGGTTACCTGCCAGTTGGACATGACGTAAAGTGGTGAGCTGTTCAGAGTGGGCACAAGTGTGCTGGGGTCAAGTGGGCCTTGTGGACCCCACACTAACGCCCAGGCAGCCGCTCCAGGGATCAGAGGTTCTCCAGCCCAGGAACAAGAAGCAGGGTGGCGGTCCTACTGGTGGCAGTGTCTCAAGGGCGACGGCCACAACACAGAGAATCTGGCCTTGGCCAGGCCCACAGGGATGAAAGAGCTCAGACAGAAGGCTCGGGCTGAGGCCATGTGGGGAGCTGAGAGCAGAGCCGGTCATGTGCCCATACATCCTGACCCATGCCAACACACAGGAACAGCATGGCACAGCACAGTGGTGATGCTCCTGAGCCAAGGATACAAGACTAAGCTACTGGGAGAGGAAGCCTGCCACTTCATACTCACTGTGAGCCCCAAAGGAGTCTTGCTGCAGCCTGGCTGCTCCATGGAGCTGGCCCCATTGGCAGAGCAAACTGGCTCAGGCGAGGCCTGGCTTTGCATTCTGCAGTTGTCTTCTTGTTTTGGTACCGGGGATCGAACTCAGGACCTTGTGCTTACGAGACAGGCAGGGGTACCACTGGGCTAAATCCCAGCCCTGCAGTATTCTTGCTGTGGCTTCCTTGTAACATCATGTTTCTCAACTCACAGGGATGCCACCTTTGTCACAATCAGGAAGTTGACTCCCAAGAGCTCTGCCAAGTAATGTCTTTTGGTTTTTGTTTCTGAGGTGCTGGGGGTTAAACCCAAGCCTTCCCACATGCTGGACAAATGCACTACCACTGAGCTACATCTTCAGCTCTTTTTTAAATTTTATTTTAAGACAGGGTCTCACCGAGTTGCCCAGGCTGGCTTCCAATTTGTCATCGTCCTGCCTCAGTCTCCTGGGGAGTTGGGATCACAGGCATCCTACCACCTGACATGACAGCTCTTATTAAAAACTACCTGAACACTTCTGGAAATGAACAGGAACAAGCATAAAATCCTGCCTGCAGCCCAGAAGTACATTCTTTCTGAAAGTGCAAGGGCTGAGACCATATCAAGGGTCCCCAGTCCAGGGAATGCAATTCAGGCCCCTGGGATGCTTAAGGTTGCAAGTGGATGGCTGTGCACTCACATCTCACACCCACCCATCACTGGACCAAGGGTTCCCACTGTGTGCTTACCCTGCCTAGCAACCTTCTGGTGTGGTCTCTACCACCCTACATATGCACCTCTGCCTGCGCCGTCAACTGTGGCTATGCACAGTGCAAGGCTGGCTCAGCAAACCTAGGCTCCCCAAACACACCAAAGAAAGCCCTGGCCTTATAGAGCATCTGAGAAGTTGTTGGGAGCAATTCTAGGTAATTTGGGGGAAAAAAAATCACTTCACAATTAAAATCATGATTAGGCCTAGTTTTCCTGCCTACAGGACAGCTATGGCATGTCTAGACATAACTCCACTTTCCCCTCCAGTCACGGCTAAGACTTCAATGGTTTCCTGAGGCTGTGATGCACCAGGACAGGACTACACCTATGGAAGACATCCTGGAGAGAGACGAATTCCCAGTCAACGGGAGTTCCCTTGACCTAGGATCCTAATTTGCATAAATGCCTCACTGTTCTGCGATTGTCACCGCAGCCCTCTCCGAGTCATCTGTTACTTTCAATGTACCAAATGAATGAGTGGCAAACTCAGGATCTTTGTCTTTTCTGCAAGGGCAGCACTGATCAGGCCCAAAGCTCAGCTTCTTCTTTAAGTCTCATTTCTGTCTATGTATTAATTAATTCCCCTCATGCTGTCGTGGCTCACAGGAGATTAGGACTCACTGCAGGAGTTCTAGCAACATCCCCTTTCCTTGTCCCCTAAACAAGAAGTAATCACTAGGCTCCTGGAATGTCTTTTTTAAAAAGAGTGTCCACATTCATCTGAGGCTTTGGACAATGCCAGACGGTTTTAAATTAACAGTGTGACTTAATCTGGGTGTGGTGGCGCAAACCTGTAATCCCAGCACAGAGGAGGCTGAGACAGGAGGATCATGGCAAATTTGAGGGTAGCCTGGGCTACACAGGGAGTCCAGGGCCAACCTGAGCTACAAAGGGAGACCCTGCCTCAAAACACCAAAAGCCAAAACCAAAATAAAAACAGACAAAACAATGTGACTTATAGTAGGCATCTTGGAGCATACCATATCAGTTCGATCTCTGGAGGCCTGGAGACTATGGGCAAACACACAGGCCACTGCTCTGCCAAACATACATGACTGGCCCCATTAAAACCTGGAAGCGCAAGGTCCCGAGTTCGATCCCCAGTACAAAAAAATGAAAAAACCTGGACAGATTCCCTATTGGTAATACTCAGCACATGTCACACATCACTGCTGAGCAAATAGCAACAGTTACCAGCTACTCCAAGGAGTAAAAAAAGAGTAAAAGGATAGCTAGGAGCTAGCAAAAGGGTAACTCAAAGCTTGTGCCTCTTCTCTCCTGGACTCTGCCCTCTGCACCTTTCCACTGTTGAGGTTGTTTTGCTTTATTTTTTGTTATTGGGGATTAAACCAAAGGCTTCACACGTGCTAGGCAAATACTCTACCACTGAGCTATATTCCCAGCCTTTTATTTATTTATTTATTTTTATTTCTTTTTGGTTTTTTTGAGACAGGCTCTCACTATGTAGTTGAGACTGACCTGGAACTCACTATGCAGCCCAGGCTGGTCTCGAACTCACAGCGATCCTTCTGCCTCGGCCTCCCGAGTGCTGGGATTATAGGTGTGCGCCACCATGCCCTGCTATATCCCCAGCCTTTTAACTTTTATTTTGAAAAGGAAGGAAAGAGCCAGGGATTTAGCTCAGTGGTTCCACCGCCTGCCTCCCAAGCACAAGGTCCCCAGTTTGATCCCTGGTACAAAAAAAATAAAAATAAAATAAAATAAAAAAGGAAGGGACAAGAAAACAAGTGAAAATAGAAGGAAAAAATGGAAACAAAGCTTTTGTATATAGGAAGGGGAGGGGTCTTGAGGGGGGTAATGGGATAAAATAAAATTTAATTTTTTAAATAATAAATTTTTATTTACTGGAACTCAATGCAGCCCAGGCTGGTCTCGAACTCACAGCGATCCTTCAGCCTCGGCCTCCCGAGTGCTGGGATTATAGGTGTGCGCCACCATGCCCTGCTATATCCCCAGCCTTTTAACTTTTATTTTGAAAAGGAAGGAAAGAGCCAGGGATTTAGCTCAGTGGTTCCACCGCCTGCCTCCCAAGCACAAGGTCCCCAGTTTGATCCCTGGTACAAAAAAAATAAAAATAAAATAAAATAAAAAAGGAAGGGACAAGAAAACAAGTGAAAATAGAAGGAAAAAATGGAAACAAAGCTTTTGTATATAGGAAGGGGAGGGGTCTTGAGGGGGGTAATGGGATAAAATAAAATTTAATTTTTTAAATAATAAATTTTTATTTTGAGACAAGGTCTCGCTAAATTGCCCAGATTGCCCTGGAACTTCCAATCCTCCTGCTTTAGCCTCCAGACCACCTTGTATTATAGTTATACACTACCATGCCCAGCCTCTTGCTGATTTTTTTTTTGAGGGGGGGTACCGGGCATCGAACTTGGGTCTTTGTGCTTGTGAGGTAGACGGCAGAACCACTAAGCTAAATCCCCGGCCCTCTCGCCAATTTTAATCTGTATCCATTCACTGTAATAAACTGTAACCATGACTCTAACGGCCCCACAGTGGCTGTACTCATCACATACTGCAAACATGGACTAATGTATGAACATGATGGCCTTTTTGAGCTCTCTGAGTCCTCCTAGTCAATCACTCAAGCTAAGGGTGGTCTTGAAGTCTCTCAATAATACCATCCCTGTGGTCACGCTGAGAGTGAGGGCATGGTGGCTCAGAGAGGTGAGCACCTGCGCTAAGGCCACACAGTGGCCCTTTGCCTCTTGATGCTGTCCTAATCCCTTCTACTTTTTTTTTTTTTTTTTTGGTACCAGGGATCGAACTCAGGACCTTGTGCTTGCAAAGCAGGCACAGTGCCACTGAGCTGAATCCCCGGCCCCCTGTTGTGAGCTGCTGGATTTGCCACACTCCCCCACAAGGGGCTGGACCTCGAGGCTCAGTAGCAGGCTCCACGCCACACAGCCTGCTCCCCCAACCTGGCCCTGTGTTCAGTTACTCCTGCTTCTCTGTTTCAGTGGGACATCACCTCCGAAGTCCCTCAAAGGGCCAGAGGCTCTGCTGCTGGAACTTGTTTCTGATTATGGGCTGCCTGACTGAGCCAGAACCAAGCCGATCACATTCACCTGCGTGGCTGACCCGCTCAGGGGCCTGGAAGGGCCACCTGGTGCGCGGCTCTCTGAAGGGTGGGGCCAACCAGGACCCACTATAGAGACTGAGCAGAAAGTTTTACCTTCTCTTCTACTTCACTGACAATTACTCTTTGTTTTTAGTGTGCTTATAAAAAGTTAGAAGCCTTAAGCAGCAGTTTACTAGAAATTTTATACGCAAAGTCATTTCTAAGTCATACTGGTCAAAGTTTCTCCAGAATTTACAAAACATACAACAATTTTAAAAATGGGCTGGGGATGTATCTCAGCAGCCATGCCTGCCTGGTAAGCATAAGGTCCTGAGTTCGATTCCTGTACTGGAAAAAAAAATACAAAGGAACTCCTCCTTTACCAAAGCCCTGCCACACCCTCCAAGAGACCACAGCTGCCTGGAACCTTGGCCCACACAGGGCTTCCTGCCTGCACTGCTTGTCCCTCAGAATACACAGGGACCTAGCAGACACAACAGACAGATGCCAAATGTGTGGTGTGGTTGTTTGTGTCTGAGGGAGTCAAGCTCTTCTTACACAGATGCCATCACAAAGGAAGTGCTCAGAGTCCTGTTACAGTCAATGCTCACTGCCAGCAGGGACCTTAGTGCTCTGCAGTCTGCCCTTGGCTGTACAGCCGCCCCATCTCTGACTGACTCACCACTGAACAGAGACCAAGTGCCGTGTCTGGTTCTAGGCACAGGCACTGGGCCAGTCACCTTCACACCGTGCAGGGTCCAGGCCCCACTAGGACAAATGCCCAGAGGACATGGGTGGCCTGTGTTCAGGGAAGCCCAGGAATAACCTCACTTGGTACCTTGCACTGCCTCCACTGACCTTGCCAAGGAAGTGAAGGATAGGGTCGCCTATACTGAACCTTGAATGCTGCGAACCTCTTGCAGGGACATGACGCAGGTCTCTCCCAAGAAGGAAACCCTCCAGTGCCTCCTGCACACACCTGGAGTCCTTTGGTACATTTGGATTCCAGCCAGAAGGATCTGCAAAATGTGAACATAAAGAAAGACACCTCTTCACACCATAACTGAGAGCTTCCTTTCCTCTAAGAACACTAGGGGAAGTATCCTAGAGACACAGCCCAAGTTCCGCTGGTCTACCAGCCCAGTAATTCTACAAAACATGAAGAAAGTGTCTTGGATTTGGCTCAAGTTATTCTTAGTGCACGGTACTGGCTGGGAAGGACAGAAGTTTTCCAGGCACTCTAGCCCATCTGCTGATAATGCCTTCAAGAATTCTCTTGGCACACACCACCCTCTGCCCACCTTCCGCCTCTAAAATCTAACCTCCTTAGGGGCACTTCTCCAGCCTGGGGCTTCTTCCTTCTGTCCTAAATTCTCAGAGGAACTAGACTTTCAATCCTAAGAGCCAACTGGTAAGAGGCCAAAGTCCCTCTCTAAGAACAATGAGACCCTCATAAGCCTCATTCCACGCGTCATCTAAAAGGAGCACGATGGGGCAGTCCACTTTCCAGTCCCCCTTCTGTCTTCCTTAGACAGAAGCTATCTTTTTCTCAATGAATTCTTCCTACCCAAAAACAGGAGCATGATAAAGCAACCACACATACAGTCAGAAGACAGACAGGCCTGGGCAAAGACTTCACAGGTGCCAAGGGTGCACGGTGATGGTGGCAATCACTGGTGAGAGCCATGTGGAAATGACACCCAGCACCCAGAAGGACAGGGCCACAGACCACCAACCTGACAGAGGCCCACTGGGAGAGGAGGCAAGCGGGGCCCGAGGGCCACGTCGACCGGGCTGTGCCATCACTGCCAGATGAGATGACGGCGTCCCTGGGGAACACAGGACAAGCCGTGGTGCTGCAGGGCATGAGAGGCATCTCAGTGCCTCAGAAGCCAACACGCATCACACAGGACCGTGCTAGCCACCCACATCACACTACCATCATCCACTCCATTTAGTCTCTCCACATCATAGCCCAAGGGTCCACGTCTCCTGATGCCACAGCCAGCAGCTCCCAGAGCCAACAGGGTTTGGGGTCATTGCCCTCACTGCCCACGCACTTAAGAGCACGCTCTTGCTGGGAACATTTCCAATGAGATGCACCAGGCAGAAGCCCCATCTGGGGGGCTGTGTGCTACCCAGTTTTCTTAGCGAGTGTGCACGTGTACACACGCATCCACACGTGGGGTATCTCCTATAGGCACACCGAGCCAAGTTCCCCCAGAGATCCAGCGCCAGGACCTGACACCAGGCATGTGGTGGCAGGAAATGTTCTCACCGTGGTTTTGTTTCCATCCCTGGTGGCCAAGCATCTTACAGCTGTTGGCAACCTGTCCTAGCTCATGGAACACAAATTTGACTACTAATTCCTGGGTCTTTGTCTCACAAACCTGGCAGTGGAATGTGAACAGCCAAAGCCCTTCCCATGACCTGCAGCTACTTTCTCCCACTCACACTCTGCCTTCTACCTTTGCACACAGAGTTGCCTAGCAAAACAGTCTTGTCTTAAGCAGTTTCCCATCTTCACTGCACAGCATTTGTACACTGCCTTGCCGAAGGTTCTCCCTATCACAAAGACCCCGTATGTGGGCTTAGCTCATCTTGCCTTATCTTGTCTTGACTTAGCTCCGTTTGACTGCATGGTTGTTGCAAGGCAGGAACTTATCTGTGATCCCCAAATCCACAGTCACTCCTTGGTGTTCTCTATCTCGGTCACAACCTGGACGCCCTGTCCCTTGGGGCCCCGCTTCTGTCAGTGAAACCTGTCAGAGGTAGGGCCTAGTGGGAGTTCCTTAGGTCATTAAGCACAGTGATCTTGGAAAGGACTATGGTAATTCCTATGCGACCCCTGAGCTCTTGAAAGAACAAGTTGTTATAAAAACAAATCCTGTTGGCTATGTGATCCTCGCTGGCATACATTGTCCCAGCATTGCCATCTGCCACAAGGTGACCCTGCCAAAGGGACCCTTGCCAGAGCCTGAGCCATCCTGTTTGGGCCTTCAGCCTCCCAAACTATGAGCTACATAAACTTGTTTTCTGTAATAGCCTGCCTCAAGTATTTCATTATGATAACAAAACAAACCAGACAAATACAGTGGAACTTCCTAAAACCCTGGTTAGCTCATGCCATGCCCCACCCTTGCTAGCCATGCCGGGCACTACGCCAGTGCCCAAGTCCATGAAGTGACACAGCAAGGAAATCCATAGCCTAGAGCTTGAAGTCAACTTGTGTCCTTCCCTGTTGCATGTCTCTGCCCTGGAGCACCATACAGTGGCACGCAGCAATAAGCCCTAGATTCCCAAGGTACCAAGAGGTTCCAGTGGGGACAGGAAACCCTTTAGTCTCTCGTACAGAGACCAGAGACCAGAAACAAGCAAGACCGGTCCATGGGGTCAGAAGTCAGGGCAGAGCCAGCTGGTCTCAGGAACTCAGGGGACTCAACTGATGCATTTGGGTGCTAGTGATGGTTTCCATGCATGATGTGGACAGTGGCTATATGGCTGGGCTCCCTTTAAACTAGGAACTAAAAATCTGAGCCGGGCATGGTGGCACACACCTGTAATCCCAGCACTCGGGAGGCTGAGGCAGGAGGGTCGCTGTGAGTTCAAGACCAGCCTGGGCTACATAGTGAGTTCCAGGGCAGTCTCAACTACACAGGTAAACCTTGTCTCAAAAAACCAAAAGAAAGAAACTAAAAATCTGCATACTCTCAAAAGACATGTTTCATGGCAGAGAAGTGTGACTACTCACTTCCAAAAGCTGCTACCAAAAGTGTGCACACCTCACCCTCTTCCCCTGATGGCATAGGTTAGGGTGAAGGGTGAAGGATGGGAGGGCAGGGAGTACCTGAAGAAAGCTGCCTGAGCACAGGAGACTGGATAAAAACAGATCAGACAAGGTTCACACCTCAGGATGGGCAGAGCACAGCTTGGCTGTCTAACAACACTGGAACCTGAGCAAAGAGCAACGCGTACCGGGTGACCCTGGGGGCATTTGTCAACTAAAAAGCCAAACCACACAGGTGGGCAGGAGGGCAGAATGTAGGGATGAGACAGATACAGGAACACACACACAAAGGGAAAGGAGGTTTTTGTTTGTTTTGGCTTCTTTGAGACAAGGTCTCAGGCTGACCTTGAACTCACTGTGCATCCCAGCTAGCCTCAAACTTGCGGTGATCCTCCTGTTTCAGTCTCCTAAGTGCTGGGGTTACAGGTGTCTGCCACCACACCCACAAGGAGGTATTTTTATGAGACACTGGATCCCTAAATACATGGAAAAGTGAGGCTCCTAGTTCTCACCAAGATGGTTTACCAGGGCTGCACATTCAAAAGCTCTAGACAGAGGTTAGGTGAGCCCTACAGTCAGCTGACCCACCTAATTAGACTAAGTATTTTGCACATGGGGATGAAACATTTTTAAAAGTAGCCAGCCTGTCTGGAGAAGCAGAACAGAAGACAGAGCTCCTCAGGCTTCCTAAGAACAATGCAGCCGGGCTAAGCAGCCAAGCATCCACCCCACCTTGGCCGCTGTCAGCTGTGGCTGCCAGTAGAGGAGGTAAACACACAGGGGAACACAGTGTGGCTGTTCCCAGGGCCTTGGCTGAGAAAGCCCTGACGTGTGGAAATCCATGGAGCAGCCAATCTACCACAACACAGTACTCTCCTCCCATCTCAGCAGCAAGAGCTCAGTAAGCTACACTCTCGTGTTAGCTATTATATGGCATTTTGTCATGACAAAGTTTCCACAGTGATACTCTCTCCTCAGATCTTTGCAATGTTTTGAGGACATTAATTCAATCTCACACCAGGGTGTTGCTGTCCCTTCACAGATCAAAGGAGCAGCACAAACAAGGCACATCTTACACATGATGAAAAGCTCCAGGCACAGGGCAGACCCTGCATCTCAGGCTGCTCCTGGCAGGAACACCCAACTTTCCCACCAAACAGGGATAAGCCCAGTCTCCAGGGGCCCCTGCAAACTGCAAGGTATGTAAGAACAAAAGAGGGCATTCCTAATCACCCATCCAAAGATGAGGAAAGCAAGCACTTGGCAGTTGGCCTGTTACTGAAGACCTCAATGTCAGCAGCTGTATCAGGAGAGCAGCCAGTGGGAGATGGAGGCCAGCCTTTTTTATTTTTAAAATAAAGTGTGCAAATGTTAGTTCTGCAATCTAAAAAGGAAACAGAGAAAAGGGGGGTAGCTGCTCTGATAACCTTAAAGGGCACCTCAATTGCTCTGGAGTAACCTCAGTTTCATGGAGCCTATGGCCAAATCCTGCCATGCCGCCATCATGCACTGACATGGCTCCAAGAGATGGCCCGGTTCTCACCCACCTGGAGTGTCAATGACAAGGGTGGCCCTGCTTCTAGAAGCCCTCCAGACCTTCCCGTCTTGCACTATTTCTTTCCAGACCCACTCTCCCCACGGACATTCTCAGAAGCAGCACCCACAGGCAGGCAGTGGGGTTCCTGCAGAGCTCACCATCTGGCACAAGAAGACAGGCATAAATAGGAACTATGACGCTGCACGTGACTACATTCATCATGAAATGTGATCAGGACGACTGCACAAGGGAAGACACCCGTGCAGCACAAGGGCGAGGCAGCTCAGGCAGAGCAGATGGTCACCTTTAATCAGGTGTCACCTGATTGTCACCACACATTAGATCAGAAAGGAGCCCGGGCTGAGGCACCTGCAGTCCAAGGATATGCAAGTGACATGAAAATGTGGGGCCCAGTGTGGTAGGGGCTTGAAGAGGTGGGAGCCCAAGGCAACCCATCCAACCCCTCAACCCCGCAGGGGGCAGTGGGATCCTAGGGAAGGGGCAGAGCTCTGCTGTGTGCACCCCACACAGTCACCCTCCCCAGCTGTCCCCACCCCATTCAACAGGTCACCTGATGCGGCAGGCTCTGGGGAAAGGAGCTGGAGAAGCAGAAGCACTGTGATCTAGCCTTGGCCCTGAACAACCTTGGGAATATGACCTGCCCCTAAACCTGAATTTTCTTCACAATGAACAGAGTTGGCCTAATGAGCACTCGTTCCCAAAAGGATGTGCAGGGGTTAATGAACAAGTGTGAGGACATCTTCTAAAGGGCCACTCTGTATAAATTCTATCACATCTGTTTCATGGAAGACGGCTCTGAGCCCAGCATGGTGACAAAGCAACAGTCAGTAGGCCTAAAATGGCTTGACAGGCCTGGATCATGCCAAGCAAGTAACATTCCACCAGAGGAAGAGGGCCTGAGGCTCAGGGACTTGTCCAAGGGCACAAGGTTTATGCTAAAGCTGTGGCCCAGCAGGAAGCCAGGAATCACAGAATGCCAGGGCAGAGAAGAGAGTCTCAGCAAAGGGCCCTCTGTACCCACTGCTCAAGAGGAAAACATGCAAAGCCCAAGCTCCTAAAGAGGCCAGGAGTGGGGCCATGCCTGCCTAGCAGCCCTGCCTAGCCCACAGCCCAGATGCCCTCTGGGCGAAGTTAGGGGCCTCTGACTATATACAAGCCTCTCCAGGAACGTATTCAGTCACAGGGATGACCCAGCACGGATTTAGCTCACCAGTTCCAATACCTGACTCGAAAGCGCAAGGACCTGAGTTCGATCCCCAGTACAAAAAAAAAAACCAAAAAACAAAACAACAACCAAAAAAACAAGAAGTCAGCTGTTACCCTGCAGCCCACAGAAGACTACAGGGAATGGAGCAAGGGAAAGGACTTCAGAGTGGTCCCTCATGCTGGCCAAGGGTACAGCCTACAACCTTGCAGTGGTTAAGCACGTCTCTGCCTCACCTGCCTTAACCTCCCTGCAGCAAGTCTGTCCTCCCACCCAGTCCCGGTAGTGATCCACGGAAACGCTTCCCGGAACCCCGGGGTGCTTTCGTTGGCTAGGATCAGTCTGGTCCCTGTGAACTGGACAGCGTTCCAAGACAGCTTGTCTGATTTTCATTCTACTCCTTGGAAAAGGGAAACTGAGGCAGGACAAAGAGGTGGGGCCCAGGCCGGCCCGCCCCGACTGCGAGTAACCCGGCCCCGCCTGCGTTTCCAGCCCGGCG